CTGCTCAGCTCGGGCTGGACTCGAACCGCTGTTGCTCAGAGCTCAAACTCTTGAGCGAGCTCTTAACCAACTGAGCCACTCGGCCGGCCCTTACATACCTATCTTAATTAGGCAATTTCACAGGTAGAAGTTTTGCTTTTACTGTAGATCTTAGCACCCTCACCATACGGTTTTATTTTCTTTCATTATTAAGTCAAGAACTTTCACCTTTTCACTTAAAGGAAGCACTTTATGGCTTCTTTTTGGCATATACAAATCGCCAGCATCAGTACTCTTGTGCTTTGGGGCCATTACTAAGTAAAATAAGGGCGACTTGAACACAAACATTATAATACTGCAACAGTCCATCTGATAACCTAGATGGTTACTAAGTGATTAATGGACAGGTAGCTTATACAATGTGGATACTCTGGACAAAGGAATGATTCACGGGTGGGACAGAGCTGAATGGCAGGAGGTTTCATGATGCTACTCAGAATGGCATGCAATTTAAAACTTATGAATTGTTTATTTTTGGAATTTTCCATTTAATATATTTGGACCGTGGTTAACCACGGGTAATTGAAACCTTAGAAAGTGAAACCGTGAATCAGGAAAGCTACCATAATTGAATTTTGAAAACTGAGCACAAAGAAAAACTCTTGAAAGCAGCTACAAGAAAACAACATATTGCCTATAGAGGAACAATAGTTTGGATGACAGCGGATATCTGAAACCGCAGGTGTCAGAGAAATGGCACATTTTTCAAATGCTGAAAGAAAAGCATTGTCAACTTCAAATTCTATATCCAACAAAATGGTTCTTCAAGAGCAATGAGGAAATAGTGTCATGTTCAGATGAAGAAAGGCTAAGAGAAAGGAAAAGATAACAGAGGACAACCTGGCATTTCAGAAAGGGAAGCAGAATATCAGAATATGTAAAAATAGGAGTAAATATGATAGACTATACATCTTCTCATGGGTCTTTAGAATCATCTTTGATGACTGAAACACAAATTATAATAACATTTGAAACTCAAGGCAATGATATTAAAAATTAGGGAAGTCAAAGGGCCCTAAATAGAAATAAGGTTTTCATACTTTACTCAAAGTAGTAAAATGTTGATATCAATAGATTGTGATAAACCACATTGTAATACCTAGAGCAACAACTCTAGAGATCACTAAAACACACTAAAAGAAAATTAAGATGGAATGCTAAAAAGTGTCCCAGTAACCCACAGGGAGGAGAGAAAAGAGAAACAGAGGAAAACCAGAAAACAAAGAATAAAATTGCATACTTAAGCTCAAATGTATCAAGAATTACCTTAAATGTAAATTTTGTCAATACATCAATTAAAAAGCAGATTGACAAAGTGGATAAAAAAACAAACAAAAGAAACACATGCCAACAATATGGTTTTTGAAGTGAGAAGAATCTCACTTCACATTCAGATATAGACAGGTTGAAATTAAAGGATGTTTTCATATAGTAGCACAGACTATGTGAAAACCAAAATTAAAAACACAAAATTATTTATAACCACTCTAAAGAAAATGAAACACTTTGTATATGCTTAACAAAACACATAAAGTGTCTGAATGTGCAAATTATAAAATGCTAATAAAAGAAATCAAAGAAGACCTAAACAGATGGAGAGACATAATATATTCATGGGTTAGAAGACTCAACTTAGTAAAGATGTCAATTCTTTCTGGATTGATCTATAGGTTTAATGCAATTCTTGTCAAAAGTGTAGCATGTGGTTTTTTTGTTTGTTTGTTTGCTTTTTGTGGATAGAGACAAGCTTATTCTAAAATTTATATGGAAAGGCACAGTACATAGAGTAGCAAAAACATTCTTAAAGGAGGAATGAAGTGAAAAGAATCATTTACTCTACTAGATATTAAAGCTTACAATATAGCTACATTAATCATGACAGTGTCATATTAGTGAAAGGATAGGCATATAAATCAGTGCAACAGAATAGAGAACCCAGGAATAAGCCCTCACAAACATGCCCAATTGATTTTTGACAAAGACGCAAAAGCAATTCAATGCAGGAAGAATCATCTTGTCAACAAATGGCTATTGAGCACTTAGACATTCATAGACAAAAACAAACACACAAACAATAAATCTCAACCTAAATCACACACCTTTTAAGAAAATTAACTTATATGGATAACACACTTAAATGTAACATGTAAAAATTATAAAATTGTTTAAAAAAATAAATCAGGAAATCTTTAGGATTTAAATCTAGGCAGAGTTCTTACATTTGACACCAGTAGCACAATCCATGAAGGGAAAATTTAATAAGTTAGACCTAAGTAAAAAATTAGACACGTTTGCTCTGTGAAAGACCCTGTACAGCTGTAAAGA